ACAAGCCGGGTTCCGGAAAGGCTTTAGCACCATAGACCACATTCATACGCTGCGGCAAGTTATACAGAAGACTGAGGAGTATAACTTGCCACTATGCTTGGCGTTCGTGGACTATGAAAAAGCCTTTGATTCGATCGAGACCTGGGCGGTGCTGCAGTCTCTCCAGCGATGCCATATCGACTACAGATATATCGAGGTGCTAAAGTGTTTGTATAGAAACGCCACCATGCGCATCCGACTCCAGGAAGATAGCACGGAACCAATCCAATTGCAGAAAGGCGTGAGACAGGGAGACGTGATTTCTCCGAAACTGTTCACCAACGCATTGGAGGACGTTTTCAAGCTTTTAAACTGGAGTGGACTGGGTATCAATATCAATGGCGAATACATCACACACCTCCGCTTCGCCGATGATGTAGTCATCATGGCGGAATCGCTGGAGGATCTGAACACCATGCTCAGCGACCTCAATATCGTCTCCCAACAGGTGGGTCTTAAAATGAACATGGACAAGACCAAAATCATGTCAAACGTCCATGTTGCACCTGTACCGGTCATCGTTGGGAACGATATCCTCGAAGTTGTAGACCACTATACATACTTAGGGCAGATTATACAGCTAGGTAGGTCCAATTTCGACAAAGAGGTCGCCCGAAGAATCCAACTTGGATGGGCAGCGTTCGGGAAGTTACGCGAAATCTTCTCATCGAAAATCCCTCAGTGCCTAAAGACCAGGATGTTCAACCAGTGTGTGTTGCCGGTGATGACATATGGTACCGAGACGTGGTCCCTGACCTCTGGCCTTCTGGAGAAGCTCAAAGTCGCTCAGCGTGCGATGGAGAGAGCTATGCTCGGGGTTTCTTTGCGCGACAAAATCCGAAATATGGAAATTCGCCAAAGAACAAGAGTTACCGACATAGCTCGCAAAATCTGCAGACTAAAGTGGCAATGGGCAGGCCACGTCGCTCGAAGGACTGACGGCAGATGGGCCAGGAAAGTCCTTGAGTGGAGACCACGGACCGGAAGACGAAGCGTGGGCAGGCCTCCCGCTAGGTGGACCGACGACATCGCCAGAGTTGCGGGGAGCCAGTGGATGCGGGTGGCGAGTTGTCGTTCGACGTGGAGGGCTAAGGGGGAGGCCTTTGTCCAGCAGTGGACGTCTTCCGGCTGTTGATGATGATGAGTTTGATATGGATACTTCTTCCTGGTTGTATCAGTGTCATAATCTTAAGTATTATACTAGTACATTGCCATTTAAAACTCAAAATATTCTTTTATAATGAAATATAATTGTCTTTAATAATTTTATCTTTTTATATGTTTTCTTACTACTTACACTGCAGTGTTCAGGATGTATATTATAATAATATGATCGCGCCATTCACAAGTACTCACCTGACCTTTTTAAAGGACAACCACAATGGGGTCCTTCTTTGTCCTTCCTGAGAGTCGTCTCCTTTTATAAATAGAATCTAATTATAATAATTTTAGATTTATTTACATAAATAAATACCTGTCCTTGTGCTTGAATTAAAATTAAACTGCGTCAGATTTAGAGGTCTTGTAAAATGTTCTGAAGTAATTGCGTAACCAGTATATTTTATACAGGGATTCTCCGTGCGGTACCAGGGTCGAAGAAATTATGAAGAGTATGAAATTACCTTATCCACTTTGTACCATATTCCAGTTTAAACATAGTCTCTGTTATTTAACAACGGAATATGAACACGAGATCTTTTTCTAAGAACAGTGTAGGACATTTCCGATGGTCGTTTCTGACATACATATTTTATTATATTCTCCACTTGTACAATTTACATTTTACCGAACTTCATAGACATTTATTTTGACATGACAGAGGGATTATGTCTTATCTTCTTTTTTGTTGGCCAGTTCTAGTCTGAGAGCGCAGAGTTTTTATATCCTAAAGAATAATATTTTTTTGTTTTTTTGTTAGCCGCTATCCGAGTTATTATTATGAATCAACGACGGCTCACTACTGAAAAATCTTTCTATCTTTAGATAAAATATTTTGCTTTTTATTACTACAACATAACATCACGCCTTTTATCCCCGGAGAGGTAGGCAGAGGTGCACATTGCGGCACTTAATGCCACTGCAATGTAACACCCTCTTTTCACTATTTATGTTATGAGTCCCATGTAATAGGGTCTGAGCCTATTGCCAATTGCGATATACCGGGCCTGACTGCACGGTTGGTGCGGTGGCTGGGCAACTGGCTGCCGTGCAACGTGTCGCGGGTTCGATTCCCGCACGAGACAATACTTTGTGTGATCCACAAATTGTTGTTTCGGGTCTGGGTGTCATTGTGTACGTGAACTTGTATGTTTGTAAACGCACCTACGACACAGGAGAAAATCCTAGTGTGGGGCAACGTTTTTTTAATAAACTGAAACTGAAAACTGAACTGAATTCCAGACTCCGTGCTACTACTGAGAATTTTTGAAAAATCCAGTAGGGCTTTGCTTAGGAGTTTTATTTACTAGAAAACAAAAAAAAAATAAAGTTATTCACTAAATGTGTATAATGTTTTATAGAATAAAACACATAATCTAATCACTATCACAATTCTTTACTGTTATCACATTAAATAAATAAACAAATAATATAATTAAAACAAAACGCTTTCGTATACACATCTCTAGAAATGAACAATACACCACAATCACGAACTTTCAAATTATTTGAAGCTTTAACAATCTTCTGACTACTATCACATTAACTTCTCTTCTTCAAGCTTCTATCGCTTCTTCTTCTTCTTAACAAAGTCAGGAGGATGGAAACCCCTCGCCTGAAGTAACTCCTGAACATTATGACAAGCATAGTATACATTATTCATCGCAGCTTCTGTCAACATGTCCACATTACATTTTCCTTTATTTTTTCCTTTCTTTTTAGTCTTCTTTTCTTCTTTTTTACTATCGCCATCATCTTCGTCTTCTTTTTTCTTTGGTTTACCGGCCATTTTTGTTTCAGTGAGTTTGTTTTGGTGTACAGTGTACGCTTAGAGACGGTTTGAGGTGGTATTGATTAAACAAGTTGTTGTGACTAGGACCACTTGTTCATGCTTGATGTTTCAGGTAGTATGTACTATAGTAAATTAGTGATTCATACATACATATATGTATGATGTGGTTTTATGTCATTTAGTACATACAGCAGCACAGAATTTCTCTCTCTCTAGGATGTTCCCTATTTTTTTTTCAAATTCAAATATCTTTATTGCTGAACACAGTACATTTAGATACATTGCAAGATGTTAGATGAATGCGCAGTTCATCATGTTCCACCAATCAAGGCATGCAATAATTATTCCTAAATTATAATTGACGAATTTCAGGTTACATTCGTTTTATTAATTATCGATTCGGTCAAAGTTTTACAAGTTATTTCATAATAAGTTAAAACAAGAATTAAAACACAATTACACACTTAAAAAAAGGTAAGTTACATATTTTGTGTCGTGGGTGCGTTTTACAAACATACAAGTTCACATGACACTCAGTCCCCAGACCCGAAATAATAATTTGTTGATCACACAAAGAGTTACACCGTGCTATTACTTCATAATAGGTAATTTAGAAAGTGCCAACACTTTACACAAACATTTTTGCATCAGATAGTTACAGGTTTACTAACACTACTTTACCAAACGACCCGACTTTTTCAACATGTGATGGAGCCCGTAATCTCTCGTACTTAGCGTCCGTGACCAAACTCAACGAAACAAGACAAGATTAACAAGCAATACATACACGAATTAAACTTTAAACCACACCATTATTTCTTACTTCATACATCAGACACCACATCAAACAAAACACGAGGAATTTCTAAAACTAATCTTGTTAACGTGGTTTTAGAACTATCTGGAATATTTCAGCTTACCTAATACATTCCTTCGTATCAGACGAGGGGGTTATCCTCACGACCCAGTTTCAGATGGTCTTGGATCGTATTTGGCTCCCTTCCAGCCAGTCTGTTCACCTCTGCAGATCATAACGGCTATATATTAAGGTTTAAGAGGATTTTTATACGGAACGATTCGTCGTTTCGATCTATATGACAAAATCGTAACAATTGGTCGCTTCTAAAATGACATTCACACTCGAATTACGATTTTGAGTGTAGGTTTTTGTACGTGACTGTCTCTTTCGCCGAGTGGTCGCAAGTGCTGCCGGGCAAGGGGTCTCGGGTTCGATGCACGGGTCGAGCAAAGTATTACTTGGTTTTTTAAGAAAACAGTAGTAGCACAGAGTCTGGAATTGTGCCCGGTATATGGCAATAGGCTCGCCCCCTATTACATGGGACTCATAACATAAATAGTAAAAAGTGGGTGCTAGGTTGTAAAGAGGCATACATTATTGTGAACCTCGATTAACCTCGCACGATGAATCGTAAAGATTAATCGTACCTTGTAAGCGGCTCTTAAAATGTCCTTCGAACTAACTGCTTCCACTTTTGCATAATACAGCGAAAAATCGGGAACAACTGTCTGTCTGTGCAATTGCTCGGAAATTGAATGACATAGTGGTCTGATGAAGTGGTTGATAAGTTGTCTAAAACTTAGATATTGGTATGTTAACAGTGGTTGTCTTGACTGGTGCACAACGTGACGCCAGTTTAATTTCAGAGTCAAAACAAATGTTTTTTAATGGAAAAATAGATGTGTTGTCTTCCATTGTAGTGAGATTTAAGAAAAGGTGAAATGTTATACATTCTAGATTCCTTTGAAATTGCTCTTTATATCACAAGGACTTTGTCTACACTAATATTGTAAAGCTGAAGAGTTTTTTTTTGTTTGTTTTTTTGAACGCGCTAATCTCCGGAACTACTGGTACGATTTGAAAAATTCTTTCTGTGTTGGATAGCGCATTTATCGAGGAAGGCTATGAAATATCACGCTTCGATTAATATCCGCTGAGCAGAGCGAGTGAAACCGCGCGGAAGTAGCTAGTTAAAAATAAATACGACACAAGAATATTTACAATGCATCTTTATTAACTTAAAAAAATATCATTTGGCACATTGTGTACAGAATCTTATACGTTTATAAATGCACAATATTAACAACAGTCATTCTATATTGGTATAATACTAATATTGTTTTATTTCATGGTATGCAGCGGTTCCTTTATTATATGTTCTACTTCGGCTCGGTGTAGTACCGCAGCTCCTACGGCGGGTGTGGCGCCCTCTGCTCTGCCTGAATATAACAACTGGAACAGAGAAAGTAAATTGAGAAGAATAAGAACATTTTATAATGAAACTTTACAAACGTCCTAATATCAAATTACAAATTGTTTGAACTAAAATGTAACACGATTAGGATATACCTATTGAGAAAAGATCTTTGGTCAAAATGTGACTGTTCATGAGAGTAAAGACTCTCATGATAGTCACAGAGATAAAATCGTGCAAAAAGTTATTGTGTTTTTGATACCAAAGTTCTTCGAAATAAATGGCGGAAATGGGTGGATGACATACACATATATCTGTCTGTCTTTTGGGAACAGGTGTTACGTTGTGTTTGTCTTTAGAAACTTTAGCCTATTGTGGAAACATTTCTATTATTAGGTACTAGCTTCTGCCCGCGACTTCGTACGCACAATCCCGTTTTCTCCCGTTCCCGTAGAATTTTTCGGATTTTTTCTATCATAAGAACCTTCTCCTGACGATAACAAATACAACAACAAAAAATCACCCAAATCGGTCTAGCCGTTCTCAAGTTATGGCGTGATAACGGGAAACGGGTTTCATTTTTATATATATAGATTAAAATAGATAACCTATAAAGCTCTAGAAAGGGAGATACCATCGCAATGCCTGAATATTCTATTAAAAATTCTACTCAATTTGCTTTCACTCACTAAGTAGTATTTAACAAAATTTATACTCGAATAGTGACATTTAATTTTACCATTGCAAAATGATTATTAACCTAACGTTATTGTTCAGCAATTAGGTGCAAAGTTGGCTGTGGCACCTTTATCTACGGTGTGTAACAGTGCTATGATAAGCAAATGTTCGAAGGGTCGTCCATATATCACGAAATGTCGGATTCTAATGTTCAGATCAGATAATATTCAACGTGCGTTCATAAAAGCTGACGACTTCAGGCATCGAAATTACGTCATTTGCCATTCGAATATGACACTAAACGATCAGAAATTTGAGTAGACATTTAGATTTTATTGCAAATGGGGATGAGTAAGGCTATTACCATATAGGTAAGTACAATTTTTATTTATTAGCATAAAACTTTCGGTTTTTCACCATCACCTGATGGTAAGCCATCGGCGCCGCCCATAGACATTTAGAAACACCAAAGATATTAGGCTGGGCAAGGGGTCTCGGGTTCGATTCCCAGGTCGGGCATGGAGTCTGGAAATGTGCCCGGTATATGGCGATAGTCTCACCCCCTATTACATGGGACTCATAACATAAATAGTGAAAAGTGGATGTTATATTGTGCAGTGGCATTTAGTGCCGTAATTTGCACCTCTGCCTACTCCTTCGGGGATAAAATGTGTGATGTTATGTTATGTTAAAATTTTAATGTCACCATCTTAGCTTAGGGGTTGCTCAAAATCTAGGAGAGGTTAGTGAAAACGACATTAGTATTTCTGATACCTCTTATCTGTTTTCCAGAGACTACCTTCACACCTACCTCTATATCTCTTATTTAAATGTTAAGTTTATTTAGAAAGGGTTGTATAGGGAATGGTCCCTATTTTATGTAAACTATTCTTAGTGAGCAATTCGTTTTCTTCGGTTCCCAGCGATTTGTGAAGAGCTTTGGGTTTATTTACTGAACTGAATAAATTGCTTTCCGATAAAGGTGCAAACGGGTAAGCAAAACGAAGATATACTTGAAGAGAACTTAGGTTACCTATATAGTTAAATGTATACTACGTATCTAATTTTTTTAAAGGGGAAAAGTCATAGAATGACTGCATCCGCCTGGGTGAGGTGGGAGGGAGTGTCAGACTCTTACTGACTAAAAACCACCCCGTTCCTTCACCTGCGCTTCGAGCCGGAGCCCCGGTAACCCGTTAGGTTCTCCACGACACGTATCTAATAATAAGATGGTGATTTCGTTCGGAAATTACATTAATATTTATTGATTCACATTTAACACATGACTTTAAATCTATATCTAAATTCTTTTATTATTAGTACCTATGTACTAATTGACATGGTCTGTCCATGTGCAGTATGAATAATAATTTGTAAAGAAATCATTTTAGAAAGTTTCTTTGTTTTTTATATTTAAGCATTCCAATATTTACAATAACTTTGAAGTGCTTTGTTTCGACTTATTTTCTTGTATTATAAATTGGTATAAGTATGCCTATTCGTAGTACCTTCGAGCAAACCAGGTCACGAGTAAAAGCTAGTGAAACAAAACTTGAGAATGCCCCGAGGATAAGTTCAAAACTTGTTACCTTTCTTCCGAGAAGATTTTCAAATCTCGGCTTGATGAAACTCCAAGCGCCCATATTTCTGTGCTCCTCCTGACTCCATATGAATTCTGAGAAAGTTTTTACATTTATTAAACCCAAATAAACACAACTTATTACAATTTAGATACAATATTCAATGTTTATTTCGAAAAGTTTTCGACATTCAACAACATTTGTTGTAGTCTACTTAAAATAATATTGAAGTTAAGCTTTAAAAGCAATAATGGTTTAACAATGTATTTATTTTATTTCAAATATTTCTGGTCTACCAGTAATTCGGATTAGTTGAGTCAGAACTTATTTGGGCATGAGTTGTTTTTAGAGGTAAAATTATGATGATGGGTGAATATATTAACTCACTAGCTGTGCCCGCGACTTCGTTCGCGTGGAATAGTGACTATGAGCAGCGTTTTTTTTTTTAAATATATACTTATTTTTATTTTAGATTTGGATCATAATCACAGTCATTTTGGGTAGCTAAAAAACCGAATTTACTGTAATGCTTCTCTATATACAATATTAGACGTATGGCCATCGGGGGTGAAAGCATACAGGCTGCTGGGATTGCTAACACGGGACAGAGCCACATACAATTGACCGTGCGAAAAACAGCTGTTACTTAGATCTACACCCACAACTTTTAGAGTCTGACCTTGAGCTTTATTAATTGTCATGGCGAAACATAGGCTCACTGGAAACTGAATTCGTTTAAAACTAAACGGCAAATTGTTTGGAATGAGAGGAATCCGAGGAATAAAAACACTATCACCTTTTCCGCACCCTGTTAAATATATATATATTTATATATAATAGATATACATAGATGTATGTATAAGCATAGAATAGTGTTCGACCTGATTCTTTAATTTGACATAACTTTATTATTTATGAACCGCTTGACATGAAACAAACACTAAAGCATAACTGAAGCATAC